AATCATACAATGGTCATTTGTTCATGAGTGGCAACTCAATTCAGTTTGTGTCACTTTGTAGTATCAATCGGCTTCGCCTTGTGATTTATCCTTCCGTCACCACATCCAATTTTGTCCAATCATGCAATTGTATTTTCAGCCGCGCCACCTTAATTTAAATCTCATCACATTCGAGCAGCCATTGGCGTCGCCTTTTGGGTTTTCCCACTTGGCACATTCAGATTTTTCATTGTATTGGGTAATGCATAGGAACCGAATGTATGAATGCTCGTGCAGAAGGGGAACTTTGCCGGGCCAAAGAATTGACAGCATTCAATGTCGGAATCACAAAGCACACAGTGCGGAGGGCCAGACGGGCCATCAAATGTATAAAGAGGTCCGTGTGCTGTATTTTATTCTTTGTGACGCCTCACAACATTCAAAGTGAAAATGCATAGATGAGTGTAGACGACGGGGGAGGTTCGGGAGAGAGGCAGAAAAGCATAGAGTTAGTTCAAGTCCGGATGCATCCGAGTATGCGGGCAGAACATCACACCACACAAGGCACAAAATGACGAAATCGAGATATTCAATCACGAAACAGGCGTCCCAACAACGGGGACGTTCGTGATAATTGAAATTCAATGAGAAAGAACAATATTGCCGATGACAAACACACCGGGGACATCACAAGTTCACCTGGAGACTTCCTGGCAGTGACAACCAGTTCCGCTCTGAACCAAACCGAGAACACCCATCAGTCCCTCACGGAAAAAATGAAAAGAAACAAATTTCGTCCGGAGAAGAACGAAATGTTCTTCTACGTCAACCCTTCTACACTACATGATCAACAAAGAGATAGACGCTTACCTACCAACATCGCAAATCGTCAAAGCTAGTCTAACTCTTATAGAGGAGATGTGTCTATGCGAGAAACCAAAAGGTGGACGTAAACCTCTCGCCAAACAGAAAGCGAACATCAACATGAACACCCCACAACTAGCCCCGTCGTGCTGCCGAGGGACACCTTTCAGGCTGACCTCGCGAGCGAAGTGGTCGAAAGTGCGACCATCACTGGCGGCACCTGCCACCGTGTTCAAAAATTTAACAGTTTTATCCAGAAGTGCGGAGTAGAAGGAATCTTTGGATGACGAACACAAGAAAGAATCATAGATTTTCAAAACACGTCTAGAGAAGTCAATGGCCAAAAGGCTTCAGTGTTCGCTGTCCTTGTGCACTGGTGCCAAGACAAGGTCATGAGACAGGAGGTCGACATCTTTAGCCCATCTGAGAACAACTGCCGGACCTCGCAGATGCAGTGAAGAGGCGAAGAAGGAGTTAAAGGTGTATGTCTTCATGGTAGCGGCAGTCCGGCCGCAGTCGTCCAGTAGCATCGCCATGTAGAAATTGACAACCTCATCGTTGAGCTCCCCAGATCCATCCACGAGTGCAACGATGTCCTTGACGGATACCTGTAAACTGTGCGACGGCAAATGCGCGACGATGATAGTGAGCGGCAACCGGGAGCAGATAACGTCTTCAAGGACTGCTCTTCCATCTCGAGGAAACCCTATTCAACAAACACCCGCAGCACACAGCAAGCACAAAGGACGGGGCACTATGAGAAAATGTCATCCTAGCGGCCATGGTCCGAGGAACCGCTACTCTGTGGTCCGAAAAGTTCACGCATAACTTCACCCCTACTTCTGGACCTTCTACACAAAGTTTATTCTAAACTAGCACTATCCTTTATATCCCTGCAAGCCTCGAGAAGGAATTCCTTGCAGTCTTTTTCGGCAACACCCGCTGCCTCTGCAACGAGTCTTGTGAGGGAACCCAATACAGACACGACTACCCTTATGGGAGGGCCTCAAGGCTTAGTGTCCCCAGGAAACGCATCAGTGACATTGCGACGACGAGTGCCTCCCGCAACCAGGACTGACAACCTGGCGAGGGCAGGCGGCTCCTTCGACATGGGTGTTTGTCCACGAGTTCGTCGACCTGTACAAGAAATAGCCACCCAGACAGTTCAGTAGGAGATCAACAACACAAGTTCGCAAGAGCAACCAAACAAACAGCACCTCACGAAGCACATCGTCACAATCCAGTTGGCGGCCGCCTATACACCTCCCCGAAATCGACGAAGCAAACAACACTTCACGAACGGGCTGACGAGCGGGAAGAAATCAGAGAAAGTCAGTGCTTACCAGGCCTAGCTACCACTTCACCAGAGCCCACCGACGACAGTCCCAGCATGATTGGCACCCTTGCGCGCGTCGACGCGGCGACGACGTGCTCCAAGCCCACAGGGAAACTTGACAGGCTCGAGATGTCGGCGTCGATGACCGTAGACGGTATATTCATCTCCGGACAAAGATCGTCGACGTCCACAACATCGACAGGTTGTGTTTTCTCCATTGCCACTATGTCGTATTGTGTTGGGCTCAATGTCCCATGGGTGTCCAACAACACCTCTCCCCCCCTTAACTTCTTGTCCCCGTAGGCTATGTCTTTGTTGTCGTCACTCAAATAGAGAAATCTATCTCGAACAGTGTCAGAGGCCTTCTTCAGAACGTCCTCCCCCATCGCCTCGTTGTGAAGGGCGGAGTACAAGGGATCGTCGTATCCCGGATGAACTGGTAGCTCCATCCCGACGTCGCTGAGTGTCGAATCAATCCGGTCGTCGGCGGCATTGTCCAAAGTCGTCAGTAGTCGACAACCCTCAACGCCTGCCAGTTGAAGTCCTTCGTCCGTGTGCCTCGGATGAATCCGAATCACGGTCGTCTCCAAAGATGCATCAGGGAGGGACATGTTCACAGGGCCCTGGTTCGGATTCATCCGAGCCCCCGCAGTTTTCAATGACGCCGACATGACCGCTTTCACCGAGGAGTCGCTTACGACTGCTAACTCGGCTCCGAGTATGTTAAGCTCGACATTGGAACTGGTCGCCAACTCACCCTCAGTCCGACAGTCCGCCTGCAACTCCTTGTGGGCTTCCACGCACAACATTATTGCATCCTAACACCGATCGTCTGTCATGGCAGACACGACTTCCTGGTTCGGATAAATCCGAATTTCGTCGCCAGGGTTTTCGGAAACCCAGACCACCCGTTCGAGTTCTGTAGACAGTTGTGCTCCCTCAATGGCACGGCCTTCGCGGTTCGGATTAATCCGAAATTCCTTTTGAGGCGAAACGGAACACGGTTCCAGCTTGTCGCTGCCGGAACCGTGGTATGTTGTCGTCTCGCTTCCCGGAAGGCACTGAGTTCCGGACAACGAGGTCGTCTCCGAGGTTCAGATTGATCCGAGACAATCCGCCAACCGTTTTTGGAGCTGAGTGAAGCATGTTCCATGCGTTGCGACACCCGCCCCGCCAACCGCATCGACAAACTGTGTTTCGCTGGTGGAGGTAATCACAGGGTCCTGCTCGCCAGGCCGCGTAATACACCCAGGCCTCAAGTCGTTCCCCGTCTCTATTGAGGTGTTGCCTGTTACCGCCAGAACCCCACCGTCCTCGTCGCGGTCGACATCGGACCCCTGCCCGTCTCCTCTGTGATGCTTTGTCTTCTCTCCGCTGCGAGGCTTCTTCTTCTCCCGGCTGTCCTTTTTCCCCTCTCCGCTGCCTGCGTGCCCCGGAGACCGCTGTTTCGTCGAACGCTGTTCACTTCCACCTCCGGTACCTCGTTGCCCGCCGCCTTCACCATCCCCGTCGCCGTCCTTTCCGCGAGACTTGCGCTTCACAACTCCTGCCGACAGGGTGACCCCAGGCAACTCCCAACTCACTTGCTTAATTGACGGGCTTGACGGAAGGGCGTAGAACGCGGAGGACACTTCCAGCCATTTATTTGACTGCAAGAACTCGAACAGCGTGTCCCCGTATTCGCGAAGAGCAGGGTCGTCCTTATTTCCTCGATTGACCTCACTTAATCTCTCCAATACCGCATCGTAGGCGCGAGATTTGAATGTCTAGAGGTCCCAACATTCGTCATATATCCACCCTCCACTTACGTCCCTCACAGCCACTGCCCATTCGCCATCGAGAAGGACTGGCTGGAAATGGTCTGGGTGCCACACGATCTCATGGCCCCAATTTTTGGTTGTGGAGAAGGTGTGTTTGTCGCCCATGTGGAAGGGAGTCGCAGGAGCCTTGAGATGCGGATGGTCCGGAGGAACTGGATGGCCGGGTCGAAGACGTTCGGGCTGCAGTGTGAGACGAATAGGCTCCCCCGGCGAACTCCTCAGATGGGACAACCCACCCCTCTTAACAGGCGCTGAGGAGGACACGGGCTTGGGACCGCCCGAGGTAGATGTAGCGAGAGGTATCTTCGGTTTGCATACTGATGGCGACTCAGAAACTTGGGCGTTGAAGATGGCCAATTGCCCGTCCAAATCGAAGAGGTCGTCCTCAACGCTCTCCTCCTTCTCAGTCTCGATATTGAAGTCGTCGTCCTCACCGAATGCCAGCTTGTACTTATCCAAAGTGA